ACCATGAAACCCAGGAATTTCCCTGACTTCACGCCGAATACACACTTCTTCGGATTCAGCTTCATTTGATGCTTTCTCAAGGTGGCGAAAGTTTCAGCCAGGTCCTTTACATGGTCCTCTAGTTTTCTGCTTTTGACGATCGAATCGTCAACATAGACTTCCATGTTTCGGCCCTTTTGATCGGCGAAAACTTGATCCACCAGCCTTTGATAGGTTGCCCCCGCATTTTTCAATCCGAAGGGCATCATCTTGTAATTATACACCCCAGCGTTCGTGACGAATGCTGTCTTGGCTCGATCGTCGGGGTGCATAAAGATCTGATGATACCCCGAGAATGCGTCCATGAAACTAAGCAAGGCATGGCCACTTGTCGAATCGACTAGCTGATCGATTCTTGGCAAGGGATAGAAATCCTTTGGACAAGCCTTATTTAGGTCCGTGAAGTCAACGCACATCCTCCAGGTACCATTCGGCTTCTGAACCATCACCACATTTGCCAGCCATTCCGGATATTGGCAAGGTTCAATGAACCCTGCCTCCAATAATTTTTTGACTTCGGCTGCGATGTCTCGGTTCTTATTGGCGGAGTAGTTCCGCTTCTTTTGCTTAACTGGTCGACACGCTGGGTCAACATTAAGCTTATGGGAGATGAGGTCTGAACTTATCCCGGGCATATCAGCTGCCGAGAAAGCAAACACATCTCTGTTATCCCGAAGGAGCTGAATAAGTTCACAACGGGTGTTAGGATCAAGGTCCATCCCGATTGTTACACATTTCTCAGCATCTCCTTCGGCCAACCCAACTGTTTCAGTCTGTTGGTCCATGTCCATTGCCGAGGGACTGGACTCTTCAGAATCTGGTCTGCTGCCAATGTCAGCAGGTGTCCCAGTCTTTGTGTTCTTCGGCTGGCTCTCTGAGTCTTGCGGCTCAGCTGAAGAGTCAACCTTCTCCCTTTCGGGACCTTTTTCTCTGGGCACGGATCCTTGGGCCGAAGCACTTAGGCCTTTCGGCTTTTTTGTGCTTGGCTCTCTTTCTTTTTCTTTCTCCTCCTCATCCTTGTCGTTATCTGGGCGACTACTGGATGGCTTGAGGTAGTTGCACCTTCGGGCGTCCTTTTGGTTGCCCTGTATCCTTTCGGGGAAGCCGGCGTCTGAGACGTAAATCATCAGCTGATGATAAGTTGAGACGACCCCTTGGATCTCGTGAATTATGGGTCTCCCCAAAATCACGTTGTACACTGAAGGAGCGTCGATGACCAAAAACTCAATCATGACGTTCCGGGCTGCCTCATCGCAACCGATGGTGACAGGAAGTGTCACCTTCCCATCTGGATAAGTTGAAGCCCCATTGAACCCGGATACCGGATAGGGTACCGGCGTAAGGTGCTTGGGCTTCAGCTTAATTTGGTTGTAGGCCTTTCGGAACAGAATGTTTGCTCCGCTGCCACCGTCAACAAGGACCTTACTGACGTCGTGGTTGGCCACCGTGGCAATGATCACCAACGGATCCTCGTGAGGGTACGTAATCCCCCGGCAGTCGGCGGCTGTGAACGTCATGTTCGGCACCGGCGACTGGGGAGATTGAATGTCAGCGTTGTTCACCTGGTGAGTCAAAGCTCTAAGGTGACGCTTGTGCTCCCTCCGAGAGTATATTCCTCCCGAGATAACATTGATCGGAGGGAATTTCCCCTCCGGTTTTTTACTGTTTTTCCGGGGGAAATCAAGGTCCTGCCGAGGGTCCTTTGCTAGCCTCTCGGATTCTTTTTTCTCGCGGTGATCCGCGATGTATTTTTTCAAGTATCCCTTCCGGACCATGTCCTCTATCTGGTCCTTCAGCTGGATACACTCTTCAGTGTTGTGGCCCGAAGACTCGTGGAACTCACACCACTGATTTTTATTTTTTCGCTGATACCACTCTGGGAGTGGTCTCGGCTTTCGGTAACTCTGCTCCTCCTTCGTCACACTGTAAATTTTGGCGCGTGGAAGAGAGAGCGGAGTGTAGGACTCATATCTGCCTGTGTATGAGGCAAACCTGTCCTTCTTTAGGTCGTTGGCCGGAGATGGCTCCGGAGCCTTTGATTTTCCCTTTGCCTTATGGCCTTGGCCTTCAGACAAGGGTATTTGCCTCTGTTTCCCTCCCCCGGATTGAGGTTGGGTTTTTGCTTTATTCCATTCTTCGGCTCGGATGAACTTATCCGAAGCACTAAGAGCTTCCTCCAAGGTCTGCGGGGTATGCATGACCATGAAGTCTAGGAATTTTCCTGGCTGAAGGCCATTCTGCATTGCAAAAACAGCTAGCCCCTGGTCCAGCTGGGAGACGCTTGATGACTCGTTACTGAAACGGGTCAGGTAGTCTCGGAGGCTTTCGGTTTCCCCCTGTTGCAGACCCATGAGCTCTGCGGTAGTCTTCTCTCGGCGGTTTGCCGTGGAAAACTTGCTCCTGAACTTGGAGGACAGATCATCCCAACCTGTTATGGAGCCTTGCCTTACTCCCTTGGAGATCCACGCTTGCGCGACCCCCTTGAGAGTGGTTGGGAAATATTTGCACCAAGTCGCCTCGGATCTGGGGCAAAGATGCATATGAGTCTCATACGAGGCCACGTGGTCCTTCGGATCCGTGGTCCCGTCATATGTGATATGCGACGGTATTTTAACCGTGGGTACGCGCTCTTCCAGTATCCATTGCTCGAATGGTGAACTAGCGGGTAGCATAATGGCCTTGCCCTTGTTCCTGGCCGAAGGGACCGCGCTCCGCCCTCTTAGAGAGGTAGGAGTGGTTTTCGTCCCTGGCTGGGAAGTCTGGGCCTCGGCTGCAGGGAACGAGAGGCGACTACGCACGCTCGGTTCCTGGCCGCCGAGTCGGTCAAGGACGCTTCTGCGAGCAGTCTCAGGTTCCCGGCGAGTAGATTCTGGCCGAGAAGCTGAGCTGCTGCTCTTATGCGCTGCTGGTCTTGAGGATGAGGATCCTTTAAATAATTGAGAGTTCTTTTTCCTCTGTTTTTCATTTTTCCAAGAATCCTCCTCCCACTCTTCCAGTTCCCGGAAGGAAGGAAGCTTCCCACCGTCATGGTCTAACTTCCTCCGCTGATGCCGGGTATGCGGAGGAGTTTGATCACGAGGCGGTGGCATATTCTGTGCCCTCATTGCCTCCATGAGTACTGCCAGCGCTCTTGCCACCTCTTCCGAACTGGGCCCCGTCAAAGGGGTCCCCGGCCGAGTGTGGTAATGAGGCCGTGCAGCCGATGGTTGGCTTTGGGACACTGAATATGTCCTATGATCAGACTGACCCCTGCTAGACCGAGAGTGGTCCGGCCTATATTGAGAGTCATGCATTATAGGAGATAGGGAATCCTCCTTGTGTGATCCTCCCCCCGAGCCGGCACCCTTGGGAGAGTTCCGGTCCGGCGAGGACGATGGTGTAGGGGTTTTAGGCTTTTCGCCCGCTCCTTGACGGAGGCTTTTGCTCTTGCGGTTCTTAGCCATGGCTGCTAAGATAATTGCAAGATGATCTTGGTTAGGAATTTGGCTTAAAGATTTTTGAAAGTCTTCCCCACAGACGGCGCCAAATTGTTTCGGTTGAAAACAATGGGACCTTGCCGAAGGTCCGCTGAAATGGAGAAGACTGGATTCGGTCCAAGTTGTGTTGGGCCGAAGGTTTCCTGCACAGTGAACACACGTAAACTAGCCTCGGGGGTGTTTCCGAGGAAGGCCCCTCCGATGCTAAAGTCAGTACAATGTGTAAAAGGAAGACACTATGCAAGAGAGTTTGTAGCTTGAGGCTTTTGTGGAATATTTCTGAATGCAAGAATGAGCATATGAATTGGAATATGAAATGTGTATCTTGTGAATGTGTCAATATGATGGCTTTTTATACCTCATCATACATGGAGAGGTTGGGCTTTAGCCCAATTGGCTTACTTTGTGGGCTGACCTTTGACTTTTGAGCAATTGGAGAGTTGAACCTTGACCTTGGGCTTTTAATTGGATCATTTAGTGCCCAGGCCCAATTTTGACTAAATTGGACCCAAACAGTAACAATTAATTTTCTTACAAAAATGGTTTATGGTTATTAGTTATTACAACTTTTTTAATTTTAACAATTATTTTTTTGAGTAATATTAACAATTTGTTTAATCGAGGTCATTTATCAAGATTAAAAAAATTATATATTATTGTAGCATAATAGTATTAATGTATATTGAATAGTTTTAGGTTAATTTTCTTTTTTTTTCATATTTGGTAAATTATTTTAAACATGATATGATTTTGATTAATATAATACTAGGGCTCATATATATATATATATATATATATATAAAGTATAGTACACGGGGAAAATTTGGACCGTCTTCTCACAAGACCATGACCTAATTATCAAGGAGTAAAAAAATAAGTAAACTTGCTGTTCATAAAAGAGTCGATATCTTGATGAATCGGAGTAGAGTAACCAAGTAAAGCAACATAGTCTGTAGCCCGATTTCGTTCTCTGAAAATATGTTGAGACTTGAAGGCCCGGAAAGATTACAAAATTGTCGGGATATCTGCCATCAGGAGGTGAAGTTTCAGTTAGATTATCCCCTTCAATGAAAATATGAGAGATGTTATGGTCTTTGGCCAAAAGAAGACCATTACGGAGGGCAATAGCCTCAACAGAAAAGCTGAGTAGGAGCCTAAGTTGTAAGAACGACTAGTAATATGATTCCCTAAATGATCCCTAAGCACTACTCTAGCTGATGCTGAAGTGTGTGTAGCACTGTAACAAAGCCATTAATACAATATCTGACCGGAAATATTAGAACTTATACGATAAGTTTAAAAGTCGAACTAAAAATAAAACTTTTAGAAATTTGATTTTTACTCGGAGTAATTTTTTATCAATCTACAATATTAATATATTGGAATTATTTAAAAATCTATGAAATCAAAATTAATTATGATCAATCTACATTATTTTTATAATAATATACTCGATTTATTTAAAAAATCTATGAAATCAAAATTAAAATTAAAAATTGATCATCTAAAGAGTCCAAACGCACCCTTACCATTGACAGTTAAACACTTCTTTTCTCATACAAAACAGGAGAGAGAAAGCTCTGTTCGAAATCTCACAACTCCCATCAATGGCGGAACACGACGAAGACGGCTTCAGCTTCGGCGATTTCAAATTCACACCTCCACCTCCTCCTTCTCATCTTCAACCTCAACCTCAAATCAATGGCGTCACTTCCACCTCCAAAATCGCCGACGTTTGGGGAGATTTCTTCTTCAATCCTTCACCCCCTCCATCTACCCCTTCTCAATCCCAATTCAATCTCCCCGATAACAATGGCTTCTCAAGTTCCTTCAATTGGGCTCAGCCCGTTTCTGGCCCATCTCCGATTCGGGTTGATCCGGGCCCAAACAAGCCGCCGAAGCCGTCGATTGGAGCTTTGCCTTTGTCCTTGATCGGTGAAGTTGATCCAAATCCAAACGTTCAATCTAATGGGAGCTTTGATTTAAATGGGTTTAATATGAATTTTAATGGGGTGGCTTCAGATTTGAGTATTGAGAATGGTAATAAGAAGAATGGTAATAATGATGAAGAAGAAGAAGAAGAAGAAGAAGAAGAAGAAGAAGAAGAAGAAGAAGAAGAAGAAGAAGAAGAAGAAGAAGAGGGTGAATGGGAATTTAAGGGTGCATTTTCTGGGAATTCTATAACAGAACAAGGGAATTCAAAGGTAAATTAAATTCCTCTTGTTTGATCTTTTAACCCTTTCCATTCTAAATGGTTTGTTGTTGAAGAACTGTGTGCAATTGATCATATTATTGGGTTATTCCTATTTTGAAGCGGTGTTTAAATTTGAATGAAATTCAGTAGTATCATCTAATTAATGTTATAGTGCTGATTGGAATTATATACTAAAGAACTTTATACTTTGTTGTTAGGAACAGGGAGGACCTGTGGTTTCTGGATCAAAAATCGAGCTTTCGACAACAAGAGGCCAAGAAAAGCAGGCCGGTATTGATGAACACCCCCCTCCCAATGTAGAAGATGATTTTGAGAATGTTGGCTTTCTTTTATAATGTTTGTGTAAATATTTGATTCATGCTGCTTCATTGGGGGATTTTGGGCTGCTGATTAATATTTGAGTTTTTATAGTTTTCGAATTATTGTTGGTTTAGTTCAGAATTTGGATGCAGAAAGTAATGACTTTGAAGGTTGTTTGGTACTTGGGAATGCTTGATGAGTATTTCTCTCAAAAGTGATACATTAGTCTACTAATGAAACAATTACATGGAACAATAACATGGAAGAGCTTTTGGAAAAGAGGTCGGAGGGAGGAGTCGAAATTTTTACTGTTGCCCTTCAGTTTTTGGTGCTGGATATGTCATGGGGTCCCATGTTATGAACTAGCCTTACACTATGTTTGGATAGAGAGAAATGGTGGGAAAGGAAGAGAAGAGAAAAGAAAGGACGCATTATCCTTTGTTTAGATACCTAATGCTAGGAGGGAAGGGGAGGGAACTGGGAGGATCCATTTTCTTTCCCCTTTGTATAAACCAAATCCCTCCATTGTTGGAAAAATTTGGAGGAAAAATGGAAGGTCACCTTCAACCTCCCCTCACTTCCCTTTCCCTTCCCTCTTATTCCTTCCCCTCCCTTTTCCTTTACTATTGTTATCCAAACATAGTATAAGGGGATGGCAGTGTAGGCTATGTATAATCAGTTGATAGAATAAGTTAGGAAAAGCTAGTCAATTAGTTAGACTTAGAAAGTCTATATAAAGAGAAGATTAGTGAGATAAATACCATGATGAATGTTTTTGGAGCTTTTTTTAGTTTTTATTTAACACTTTCGGAGAGAACAAGCCTCCCTTGTGTTATCTGTTATATCCAGACTTAAATTAAAATATCCATCTTCTTCCTTTCGGTTTGTGCACATTTTTTCAACTTATAACAATCCATGTGATTCCTAGGACTAGGAGCATGGTGATATTGTCCTTTGTTCAGGAATTAACTATATGCTGATTAATTCTAGACTTTGTTTATGGGTTACTTTTTATGCATGTTGCTGCTGGTGTATTTGTTAAAAGAGTATTACGATATGGTATTCTTGCCCGCATGCTTTTAGGTTTTAATTTGTTGAAGTTTCTGTTGGGAGAAGAGACATAGGTTTTGACATGTTTAAATTATTGTGTTAATTTATAGGTCAGGATGCTTTCAAATCTGTTGACCCCAAGCTTGGTGTTAACGGTTTTGGACCTCAGTCTATTGATTTTTTTGCTGCATTGTATGAAAATGGGGCTAATCATCAATCCAGTGAAATGGATGTTAGTATAAAGTCAAGCACAAGCACAACCAATGGTTTCATGTGGGACCCCTTTCCTGAAGCTGAACTTATTGGCAATGGGGGTGGACTAAATGCAAGTTCTATGAATCAAGATGATGATTCTGATGACTTTGGGGATTTTGTAGATGCATCTCAAGAAGTTGTGTCAAAGGAGAAGGTGACTTGAGGCTTTATCTCAATTCAAATAGCTTCAATTATCATCCTTAGTATCTTTTTGAATCTATTTTGGTTGCAGCAAGAGCAAGTTGGTGATCGCATGGATCCTGCTGAAGCTCAGCTACCAAATGGAGAAGCCCAGGTTTGCAATTTTATGCTCATTGGAAGTTTGGTATTGTCCATATCTAGTATCAAGTACATCTTTTACGAACCAGTAGCACCCCTTATTATCTAAGTTCTTAACCCATATTTCTCATTGTGATGTATGAACATTTACTCTTCATCACCTTAGACATTGTGCCGTATTAATGATTGTTCCACACTTCTGCTGCATGAATGCACATGAGGTATGTAGGTTTTAGGTAAATATTAAAGATTTATTAGCTTGAATGCATACCCTGTTTAGCTGAGGAATTCTTTATGTTTCATGCTAGATCATGTGATGGTATTGTTTTGTTTCACTCTGACCATTTATCATGATGTGTAAAAAATGACTGAAATTGATTTCTTTTTATAAGTTATCTATTTTGACAATTTATAGGAGAAGCAAACCCAAACAAAACCATCTAGAGGAGCCTTGCCATTATCCCTCTTCTGTGATGATACTGAAGAATCCAGTGATCCCTTGAATCTTCAAAATGAAGTGGCCCCTATGCCTACTCTTACTCCTGCAAATAGCTTCAGTGGCCAGAAACCAGTGATATCTATCAAAGATCTTGTATCAAATTTGTACAGTCAAGCTCAGCTTACATCTTCAGTTGATTCTACTGTAAAACCTGCTGAAAATGGAGTGCAGTCCCCACTAAATGTAGCAGTAACAACTTCATTTGAAGAAGATGATGACTGGGATGACGATTCCTGGGAGTTTAAAGGTGCATATTCAGACAATGGAGTTGGAGAACAATTGTCCCCAGCTATTCCAGGATATATAGCTCAGAAACAGTTACCAGAATTGCGAATTTATATGGATTTTTATGACCAATTGAGGGGTTCATTATGCTTTCTTCTTTCATGCCAACTTGATGACCTAAAGGTTTGTATTTTTCTACTGGTTTTCTTATCCCTAAGTGATTCATAATTCGACACTAAAATGAAATGTGCTTGCTGTTAGAAAGCTCGAAGTTCAGATGTTGTAAATGGCAATGGGGGTAAAGCAGAAGCGCTTGATGATGAAATGCAGGTTAGCAGTTCTTTTACACCAAATTTTATAAGACAATGATAATGTAGGTGAGTTGCCTGAGTTCCATACAAAGATAGTTCTGTACTTATCTTATACTGCTGTTCGCCTGTTTTTCCTTCATAGGAAGTTTCTAAACTATTGGAAGAGAGTGTAACTTCTAAGGAAGTACTTTCAAAGAAAGACCTTGAGAGAAGCAGTTGTCTTAACAAGTTCCTCGAGATTCTTCAAGGACCAAAGTTCAATGTGATTGAAGCGGAATTCTCTTTGTCAAAAAGATTGCAGTTGGTATGCTTCCCTTTTAAAATTTAATGCTTATTCTCAATATTTGTGTACTGCTCTGGTGATTGTGGCAGTCGCTTTTATATAATTTGGAAATAGATAGCATTGCAGTGTTTGATGCGTAAAATTATACATTTTATTTCCATTTTGCTGATTACAGAATAAATTGCTGTGCTTTTACCTTATGATTGTTCCTTCTGGCTTAATAATCCTTCATACATTCACTTAGGCAGCAAATGAGTGGAAGGTTGCCGCTGAACTCTTGAGGCATGCAATATCAATGCTGAAAATTCTATCACTAGGTACAGCTGATGAGCAGTCGCTCTATGTGACGACTTGGTCTAAGATTATCAATGTTTGTGTTCAAGAGTTGAGTCACGGAGCATCAATATGGAAAAGAGCATCAGAGAAGAATGTACAACATCAGATTTTGTTAAACTCTCGAGGTATTTTGCTGTGATATTTTGCTTAACATGTTTATTGTATAAGAAGTATATTGAGTCTAAACCTATTACAGATATAAATTCTAAATCATTTTAGTCACTTGATTGACTATGGAACTTCATTTCTGGACTTTAATTGAGACGTGATTATATAACAGGTCAGAAGTTTATTCAAGCTCTTGGAGAAATTTTCAAGGTTGTAGAACTTCTTGGTGTGTCAGCCAAAGTTTACAAGCCGTGGATATTATTAAGTGTGTCAGATTCGTCACAGTTTTTCAGTGTTTTGTTTGAGTGCGGTGCTTTATGGGTAAATTCTGGTTTGGAGGGAGCCCTCCAAAATTTGTCAGATGATATTGATTTTCAATGTAATGAAACTGCAAAGCCAATAGTCGCCTCAATAACAAATATTTGTGAGATCGATGTGGTCGCTGTGCATGATCTTGTTTTCCGTGGACATAAAACTACTTGTCAGATGTCCCTACTGCCTCAAGAAATATTGACAGGTAGAAATCTCATCCTAGAAAATACTCTATTAACCGCCCTACTACCCTCCCCGCACCCCCCACTCCCCCCAGCAAAAAGTACGGAGTAGCTTCATTATTGTATACATCTAGAAACGTGTTGCAAGTTTGGTCTTTTGCTTCAGTAATTTTTTTTTCACTCTATATTGTTTTGATTGTTCTTCCACAGACTTGAAGACACTCAAGACAGTGACATGGGGTGGAAAGCCTTACTTTCTGAACCTGGCTAATTTGTGGGCAAATTTGATCAGCTCTAATCCTCCCCAGTTACCCAATTTGCAAGTTAGTTGAGCAGATGGGTATTCGAAATGTTGTGATTATCTACGTGGCATGTAAAACTGCCCAGCTCCCCCAGAGCATGCATCAATGGCTACACAGCTGCTTGGAATCCTACGCACATTGCTCAGGATGACAGATCAAGTTTTCGGATTATGAAATTCTGCAGAAGTCGAAATCAGCTCTAGTCAATTGTACGATTGTACCCTCCACCCCTTCTTATTTTCCTCCTCCTATATCTTGTTTTTGATTCCATATGATACACCATTCATTTATAGTAAGTGTAATATAGTGCCCCAGGTATAGAGATGTGTAAGGATGGGCTACATTGGCAAGTAATGTTCCCATAAGAGAGTATCTATTTTTGAACATAAAATTCATCAAAGCAATCATAGATTCATGTGTAGTGTATTTACCATTTGATAGTTACGCAATAATAAATTGTCTTCACAATTGTACTAAATTTACGAGAAAGCTCTGTATTGTATAGAACTACAGTACTGCCTAAAGCTTGTTATACAAAGTACTCTGTATTTTTTTTGTGCAGTTGATCGATTTGTCATTTGATGTGAGTTCTATTCATCATGAGTATATTCACTTGGATTTTCTGAGGGGTCGTTTGGTTCATTAGGGAGGTAAAAATTCTCATGAAATTTCAATTTGTAGGACAAGGGTAGGACAAGAAATTAGCTGATAATTTTCTTTTCAAAGGACAAGGGTAGGAAATGACTGTAATAAGCAGTTTTAAACCTGTGATGTGTAACGCAGAGGTGCAAGTCCAAAAACAAAGATAATTAAGTAATCATTACCTAAATCAAGTATTACTGTATTATTCTTCAAACAAACCAAGTATTATTAAATACGAGTATATAATTATCTGGGATTGTAGACACCTAATTGTAATTCATCGACACCTATAGGGATACTACGTAAAATAAAAAATTAGGACTATTGTAACGGATGTGAGAAAGAACAAATTAACGAATGCAAATAAATAAATAACACACAGATTTACGTGGTTCACCAACGGTGTGTTAGCTACGTCCACGGGCAGGCGAGAGAAAAGTTTTATTGATCTTGAGGAATTCCAGATTACAGATTTGATAATGTCAATTATCACCAGACTTGAGCTATGAATAAACCCTAACAAGTATTATAAATAGCTATCCCGAAAATAGGCAAAAAACGAATTAAACAGGCTGACCGCCTCGATCCGCGCGCAACTTAGTGAGTTGCGCTGATCCTCCGCACGCAACTGAACCACTTGCGCGGCGCGCCGCGCCCGACTACAAGACTTGTGCGCAACCGAGCTCTCGATCACTGTCGAGTGAGCTCTCGCTCAACCCAGCCAAACCAAATTATCTCCGCGAGCTATAGTTCACTCACCTAAGAGCTATAGCTCCAAATTCATCGCAACTCTAAATGCTTCCGAAACTATTGAGCTATCTCACGAGCTATAGCTCGCTTCTCCTAAGCCCAAATTCAAGGCATATTTCAACAAATCTCCACCTTGACTTGAATCCTCTCACAAAACCAGATAACTAGACGCATTGATCACAATGCTCATTCTCTCCTTGCAACCAGACTTGTCCTAAAAGACAACCAGACCAAATTAGCCATGTAGGTCTCTAGATTAGCTCCGTAGAGCTCCAGATTAGCCCCTAAGGGCTACTAACAACCTCGAACATTGAGCAAGTTCAAACAATGTTCGAACTTACTCTGCGGAACCGGCTTGGTGAACATATCAGCAGGATTATCAACGGTACCTACCTTCTTCACCTTAATTCTCGTCTCACTTCGTAGAAAATGATACCTGACATCAATGTGTTTAGTTCTCTCATGATGCACTTGATCCTTAGCCAAACATATTGCACTCAAATTAAACTATCACAATATACTACTGCTTGATCATGATGTAGACCTAGATCACTAACTAATCCCTTTAACCAGATTCCCTCCTTGGCAGCTTCTGTCAAGGCCATGTACTCTGCTTGAGTAGTAGACAAAGTCACCGAAGGCTGTAGAGTAGCTTTCCAACTAATAACAGAACCACCAAGAGTGAACACATAACCAGTCATAGACCTTCTACCATCAACATCCCTAGCATAATCAGAATCTGAATAACCTGTAACTAAACACGCCATATCATTACCAGGATCAATCATGAACCTACTAACAACACTGACTGCTTGTGCAAGATCCGGCCTAGTGCAAACCATAGCATACATCAAACTCCCTATTGCACTAGCATAGGGAACCCAGACATGTACTCCTTCTCCTCAGCAGACTTCGGTGCAAAAGCAACCGACAAGTGACAATTGGCCGCGCTTGGAGTATCTTCTCAATGTAGCCTTTTTGCGATGAGAAAAGTTTCTTTTGAGCCCTATCCTTATAAATATCCATGCCCAATATTTTTCGGGCCGCACCCAAATCCTTCATTTCAAACTCGAGTAGACCCTTCAATTTTTGAATATCAGACTTGTTCTTCGCTGCTATCAACATATCATCTACATACAAAACTAAGTAGATGTAAGACCCATCTGTCAACTTGCTGTGGTATACACAACAATCATAGGGATTCCTGTTGTAGCCTAGATCCATCATGTAGCTATCAAACCTCTTGTACCATTGCCTAGGAGACTACTTTAACCCATTCAAGGACTTCTTCAACTTGCAAACATGGACTTCTTTTTCCGGAACTTGGAAACCATAAATCTGGTTGAGTCATGTATATATCCTCTTCTAACTCTCCATGTAGAAAAGCTGTTTTCACATATAGTTGCTCAAGCTCCAAATCCTGATGTGCAACCATTGCAAGTCGCACCCTGATGGAAGTGTGTCTGACCACAGGTGAGAAGATCTCATTATAGTCTACCCACTCTCTTTGTGTGAACCCTCTTGCAACTACTCGAGCCTTATACTTGATCCCCTCCGCAAGTGTCACCCCCTCCTTTTTCTTGAAAACCCATTTACATGTAACAATTTTCCACCCTGGAGGCCTAGGAACAAGATCCCAAGTCTTATTCTTATGAAGTGACTCCATCTCATCTCCCATTGCAGCAATCCAATGGGTAGATTCCGTACATGTGGCTTCTTCCTTGTAGGTAGATGGCTCATAGACATCCACCTCTTCGGCAACCTGTAGTGCATAAGCCACCATATCTTCAAAACCAAACCTGTAGGGTGGTTTCCCAAAATTTGCCCTTTTAGAACGCTCTAGAGCTAGACTAGGCTTGTTCAATTTTGGTGTTGATGATTTTGGTGCTTCAGAATTTTCGTGTTGAACATCTTTTCTTGTACCTCATCACTCTCATCATGAGTGACTTGCTGCTCCACCTGTTTGTCAACACTACCATTATCTGATACAACTATGGACTGAACATTAGAGTTAAACATAAAATTTTCATTAAAGACTACATTTCTACTAAGTATAACTCTATTTTCCGATGGAGACCAAATCCTATAACCTTTAACCTCATCCCCATACCCTACAAATACTCCCTTTTTGGCCCTTAGCTCTAATTTACCCTCATTAACATGATAATAAACATTGCAACCAAAAGCTCGCATATTTGAGTAATCTGCAGGCTTACCAGACCACACCTCATAGGGTGTTTTGAGGTTAATTCATGAGTGCGGTCCACGGTTGATCAGATAACATGCCATACTAACGGCTCCTGCCCAGAACTTTATAGTCAATCCAGCATTAGAAAGCATGCACTGAACTCTCTCTTAAAGCGTTTGATTCATTTGTTCTGCTACACCATTTTGCTGTGGTGTATCTCTGACGGTACGATGCCTAGCAATCCCCTCATTCTTGCAAAACTCATCGAAGTCAAACCAACAAAATTCCAGACCATTATCAGTTCATAGCCTTTTGATCTTCTTCCCAGTTTGATTCTTCACTAACACCTTCCATTGCTTGAAATTCTTGACAACTTCACTTTTAAATTTCATTATGATCACCCAAGTCATCCTTGAAAAATCATCAATAAATGATACAAAATACTCGTGACCTCCCAATGACTCAACATGTGAAGGATGCCAACAATCGGAGTGGATATAATCAAGAGTACCTTTAGTTCTATGAATGCCTTTAGAAAACTTGCTATGATGTAATTTCCCAAAGACATAATGCTCACAGAAATCAAGGTTTGTGACCTTGTGGCCACCTAGAAGATGAGCCTTGGATAGAATTTGCATCCCTCTCTCACTCATATGCCTAAGCCTCATGTGCCATACCTTGGTCATATCATCCTTCTGAACCTCAGATGAAGCAACAACAACATAACCTGATAGAGTGGAGCCCTGTAGAAAATACAAAGTACCACGCTTGACACCCTTTAGAAGCACATCAGAACCCTTGCAAAAATTAAGAACTCCACCTTTACCCCTGAAACTGAACCCCTTATTGTCTAATACGCTAAGTGAGATAAGGTTCTTAGTCATTTGTGGAACATGTCTAACATCGTTCAATATGTGAAATGTACCATCATGTGTCCGGATTTTGATAGAGCCAATCCCAATTGCCTTGCACACTGCACTATTAGCCATCGGTAAATATTTCCTCCATCTACCCGCTCATAGGTAGTAAACCACTCCCTACTACGTGGACATATGTGATACGATGCCCCAGAATCAAGAACCCACACATCATTGTGATATGTCTGTTCACGCGCAACTAAAGCAATGTCATACTCAGAATTCAAATCCTCTTCTGCTAAAGCAGCAGTAACAAATTTATCCTGCTGTTTCTTCTTGGGACATTCTCTCTTCCAATGCCCCTTCTCCTTATAGTAATTACACACATCAGTTCGCTTAGGACCCCCTTTGGAATTTTCGGGCTTCTTATTAGACTTCTTCTTCCCGGAATTTCCATGTCCCTTACCACCAATGACCATTAATCCAGAGGCTTGATTGTCTGTACCTGTACTACCAGATACCTTATGGCACAATTCCCTCTTATGAAGAGATGATCTAACCTCTTCTAGGGACACAGTATCTTTACCAACAATAAAGGATTGCACAAAATTTTCATACGACAGATGCGAAGAAACTAACAAAAGTAAAGCAACATCCTCATCATCAACCTAAACATCAATATTACGCAATTCTAGCAAAATCGTATATAATTGATCTAGGTGATCTCTAAGAGGTGTACCTTCATTCGTTCGCAGATTGAACAGACGTTTCTTCAATAGCAACTTGTTGGTTAGAGACTTCGTCATGTACAAACCCTCCAATTTCAACCACAGACCCGATGCGGTAACCTCCTCCACAACCTCGGTAATGATATCGTCTGCAAGACACAACATGATCGTTGAATGTGCCTTCTCCTCCAGAAAGGCCATCTCAGTAGTATCCGGAACCGATGACTTCTTTGCCAATGGTGCTCATAACCCTTGTTGCTTCAGCAACGCCCGTATCTTGATCTGCCACAAACTAAAACTATTCCTCCCAATGAATTTATCAATTTTCACATTCATCCCAGACATCTTTCCCACTCAGATTTAACCTAAAGCTCTTGATACCAATTTGTTGTAACAGATGTGAGAAAGAACA